AGATTAGTTTTTCGCGTAATAAATAAACAATTTTCTAAACACAATTCTGAACGAGGAACTGTATAATCTTATTGTTTCAAATTACAATTTGCGAGAAAAATATTTAACATTCAAGAATACAATTATTCATTGAATTTTTGGAGATGTGTTGGAAGATTATTTCTTTTCTTAGCTTTTTTCACATTTTACTCCTCTGATTGAGGAATCGGGAAGCCGAGTTCGAATCCCAGTCAATTCCATTACATTCACTTACTTGCACTTCTCTCCCTCCAGCTGTGGATAAATAGCAGGACAGATTGGGTTCTATACACTTGGATGGCAACTACCCTAGGAGAAGGAAAACGCCGAATTCAAAAGCTGCGGAGATTTGTTTGAAGCTTATTTCGCACTTCAGAAATGGTGGTTGGTTCTGCACAAAGCCATCACTATAATCAAATCATATGTGCTGCTTGACCCTCATACGTCGAATAAGACGGGAGAATCCAATATATATATACATATATATATATATATCATACGTAGAATAAAATGGGAGAATCCAATTTATATATATATATAAAATTAAATTAAAAGCATTAGTTCCATTTCATCTTCAAGCAAATATTTTAATTTAATTGCAAAATTAAATTCGGGGCTTTTAGCTTCTATTTTTGAAACATGGTTAGAACTGTGTGTAGCGGAAAAAACATATTTTAAATCAATTAAATTAATATATATATATATATATATATATATATATATATATATATATATATATGGTGGACTCTCTCTCTATCTCTCTCGATATATATATATATATATATATATATATATATATGTATGTATATGGTGGACTCTCTCCATCTCGATATATATATATATATATATATATATATATATAGAGAGAGAGAGAGAGAGAGTCCCATATATATATATATATATATATATATATATATATATATATATAAAGAGAGACAGAGAAAGAATGAGAGGAATAGAAAGATTGATAGATAGATAAATACATGATAAACATTTATATATTCAGTGCAAGTGTCGTTAATGAAAACTTTGTTAATTCATCAACTCTTACTAATTAAATGTTTGCTGATATCACCTGAGCAATTAATGGTTCTCTTCGAATATTGGTAAATTCTTGTTACAACTGCGTCTTCTTACTTTAGAATTGAAGACAATCCTATAATTCGGTGTTGGCGATTAATTCTTTTCGTTTTCACAATGTACTGTCATTATGGTCGTTAGTTTCTCGTTTCTCACCGCGTGTCAACCTGGTTAAAGAAATGGAAAAGCTTTGGGATTTATTTTTGTCTTTTTGTGTGTTTCTATGTGTGTTCCCCTCCCCACTCCCGTTGTCATTGGCTGTCAATACCCAGTGTGTCATGTATGTCGAATTTGAAAATATTTGTGTAGTGTATACGGATGCACCGAACACTCACCCGTAATAGCTATGGTTTAAATGGTTTCAAAATGGCGATTCTGATGTACCCAACAAACCCCGCTCGAGAAGACAACCAACTCTGAATTAAGAATGTTTGAAAGAGAATATTGGATTGGATCCACGTCAAAGCACCTGAGATTTGGCGCAAATTATTAAAGCGTCATGTTCAACTGCCCACGAATATTTAAAGTGAAGTGCGAAGACTCGTAAAAAAGGAATTTTGGTTCCTCATCTGCTTTCACTAGATATATAACTTTCGAAAGGGTAGTGCAGCTGCAAATGCATTTAAAACATTAGATATAAGAGAATAGAACGTTTCTAGAGATAAACAACGTGAAAATAAATAAAAAAAATGTAGAAGGATGCTGAAAATCCCATGGATTAAACAGGTGAGTAATGACAAAGTTTTACGGAAAATATAAACAAAAAGGAGATGTTTACTTAGAATCACAAAGTGCAATTGAAATTGATAGTGCACATAATGGGGAAATATTTGGGAATTTTGACATTTTTAGGCCATATTGAAAGAGAGTTACAGGAAATCAGCGAATAAACTACTTGATGAACTTGTGTAAATGGTTTGCAGAACAGATAACAAAAGGACAAACTTTATTAAGAGCTACAAAGGAAATAGTAGAGAGCCGTGACCGCCCAGATCCTAAATGATATCGGTACATAGAAGAAGGGAAACTTTCACGTTCCACCATCTGCAACAGCCTTTTAGCTAGGAATCCCAACCTTTTATTTTTGCCTTCTATTGTTACAGTCGATAAAACTGAAGTTTTAATGTTAACAGAAAACGAAAAAGACCGGTTATCACAAAAAGAAAAACCAGTGCTAACGCCCGAAACAGGACACTCTTCTCAGAAATTATTGATTTGTGTCTGTTGGAGTATGAAATGTGTCATCCATTTCGAGCTCGTGGAACACGGAAAGATCATCAATGAAGACATTTATTGCCAGCAAGTTGATTGAGTAAACGAAGCTTTACGTCAAAAGTGCTCTGCTTTGATTAACTGAAAAGGTTTTATTCTCCAGCTTGACAATTCAGGGAAAAAAACATTCATGGGCAAACTCGGTAAAACCACCCACCCACAAAAAAAAAAAAAAAAAAGATTGTTAGGGTGGGATTTTATTCTGCATCCTCGCAGTTCACCAGATTTAGCTGGTAGAGATTTTCATTTGTTTCGATCGCTTGAACATTTCGTAAGTGGCCGAACATTCAGAAACAGTTTTTCAAACATTTTTCAGGTAAAAAAAAACAATAAAAAAAAACATTTCTTTGCATGCGGAATCAAAAATTTGCCTTCTCGTCAGGATGCAATTATTGAAAAGGAAGTTGAGTTTTTCCTAAAAATAATTGTTACTTTATGTTAATGGTAGCCACCAACGTTACACCTTTTATTAAACAGTGAATATTCATACACTTGTTTAATCATTTTTCATAGATTTTCAAAAAATGTTCTGATATATAAAAATTTCTATATCGTTTTCCAGAATATAAAAATAAACGTAAATTTAATTCTACAGAAGGATGCTAAGGATATCATGGACTTAGCGTGTGAGCAACGATAAGGTTTTAGAGAGGATGCAAACAAGGAGGCAGCTTATACTTAACATCAGGAAGAGGCAGATGAAATTTCTGGGACATGTAATGAGAAAAGAGGGCCTGGAGAATCTGATACTCACAGGTCGAATAGAAGGAAAAAGAGACAATACGTGGCAGGCTTAAGCAAGTGGATGACAGGACGCAGTCTGGGTGGGGTGGCAGAGGGACGAAATACGAGATACAAAGGATATAGAGAAGTGGAGAGCTATGATCGCCTACGTCCTGAAAGGACACGGTACATACAAAGAAAAAGAAAGTGGATTAGATAGTTGAGTCTTTTAGTGCCAGCATCGGAATCTAGATTCAAGAATTTGAATGCTTATTTTCAAGGTAAGAAGTTCTATAGAAACTTCCTCAAGCTATTTCCATTCATTTAAAATTATGACGCAGTAAGCAAAGTCTAGAAAAAATTATTATGAGCGCATATAAATATCTGCCGGTGTTGCCCAATGGTTAACGTATGATAATGTATATTCGCTGTTTAATAAAGGGTGTAAGGTTGGTGGCTTTCGTTAACATAAAGTAACAATTGATGAAACAGGTAATCCAGCATCGTTCTGATTATTATCCTCATCTTTGTTGCTACTATCACAACGTTTCGGCCTTCATCAGTTTTAAGTCGACCCGGTTTACATACAGAGAAATCCGAACTTAACTTTTTATCTAATGTGCTGAACTCTTTGTTAGTTACATTGACATTCATCTGATGAAAGCCGGAGAACACAACGATCGAAACGTTATGACAACAAAAAAAATGAGAGCAATAAAAAAAGGTACCAGGGATGAAAATTCCAAGATCCGGAGTTTTCTCACTCTTTGGTAGAACTTTTACCTGATTTATCATGTTGTCAGGGGTGTAGCCGTACTCATCACACTTGCTGATCCATTGTTGTAGGTTTTGAATTTATGATTGTCCTTCTCCTAGACTAGTTGCCACACAAGGTTATAGGACACAGTCTTTACTTCTACTTTACCCATAGCCGGGGGTAAACAAAGATTGATTCATACCTTTCCCACTTGTAATAGCTCGTAAGTGGATGCAATGAACTCGACTGAAATTCGAACTCAGCTCTCCGATTCTTCAATAGTTCGAATGTATATACTGTAAATAATGATAACTATTCATTCCAGAAATTGAAAGAGAACGTATTATAATTATAATGAATTTTTTCTCTCTCTCTCTCTCACTCTCTCTCTCTCTCTCTATATATATATATATATATATATAAGACATTTTTATGTTTATACATTCTTTTTATAGATACAAATATTTAAGTAAATGCTCTGTTTATAATAAACGGTATTAAACAACATTTACCGGCCTGAATGTCCGAGAAATTTTCACAGAAAATATTCGTCCTCCGAATCGAACCTGTATCCTATACGGAACCGTCATATAGCCTGACGTGCTTTTACCGATTGAGCCACAGAGGAGCGTTCGGTTAGCAAGGTCGATTTTATTGTCTTTAAACTACAATCTTCCATGAATCTCTAACGTTCATTCATATCTGCTCAAAAAGCATCCAAATGTAAACAAATGACGTCACATTATGAAATGGACACAGTTCGACAATTATTTTAAGACATTTTATGAACATAAAAATGTCTTAAAACAATCGTCCATGTTTATAATATATATATATATATATATATATATATATATATATATATATATATATATATATATATATATATATATATTTCCTTTACCAACACTTTGCAGATTATTTAGAACCAGGAAATATTTTTAGATTGTAAGACGTTTTGGATATAATACTGATTTATTGATACAAGTCTTACTAATTAACCCATAGCTGGGGGAGAAAAGGTGCATTCTTACATTTCATGAGGACATTTACACGTACGTGAATATAACGAACCCAACTGGAATTGGAACTCAGCAATCCGATTAACAATTCCGAGTCATTATCCATTACCCCACCAGGACATCCAAGCTTACATCATTTGGCTTTCCCGAGGGCTCAACTGTCGAGGTACTGACAAGGCTCAATGTTGTTTAACTTCGGTGATCGTACGGGAACCGGTGTTTGAACGTGATATGGCCGTAAGCACAATGTTCAAGTAACGGTTTTCTGAGTGGAACATTTTTTGTACTAATTGGGTATGAAGGGAATGAAAATTATTCGAGTCTGTATGGGTGCCATGGAGGCTTCTATCTATAAAGTTCAGAACTGGTGAAACTGAGGAATTCGCCTTACCATTTGCGGTAACCATTGTAATTAAGAAGGGATTACCCATATAATATTAGCTAGCTGTCTCTTATATTCTAACGTTTCTGCAAATATTCCGCCTTCTTCTCCTTCCCAGACAAATTGATTCCAACAGCTCAGCTTTCTAACAGTTTGCCATCAAAATGTGTATCTTTCATAATCATCTAGGTAGCTTTTTTTCTTCCACTTGTATAACAGCGATCGATATTCTTTAGTTGCAAGGATAATTTCGATCCTTGCTTTTTATCATACAGGCTTTCCATCTGCCTCTCTGCACATGCAGGTGTCTTGAAACTCTTGTAAATGCATCCACGTGACTTACTTCCTTGCATCAACGATTTGTCAATTCCACATTGGAGAGATTTGTCGCGAAACAACGAGAAGTAGGAACACCTGCAAAGGCCAGCTGATGACGTCATCAATAATGTCCGCGCAAATGAATGCGCCAACACTGCGCACATATGGCTACACAAGCACATTCGCATTTATAGCTATTCATTATTGCCTGCACACACACATACATTCCTATTAATAGACATACCCATACCCCCCATATATATATATATATATATATATATATATATATATATATATATATATAATATACATTCCTTACATGAACATACTTCCCTTATAAGCACACATTCACGCATATATATATATATATATATATATATGTGCGCAAATTTGTTTATAGAGATATGTAAATTATACATACATATATATATATATATATATAATTTCATATATCTCTATAAACAAATTTTATTATATATATATATATGAAATTATATATATATATATAATTTCACATATCTCTATAAACAAATTTGCGCACATATATACACATTCATAAAGTCATGCATCTATCTATCTATCTATCTATCTATCTGATTTTGTTCTTTATCTCTCTCTCTCTCTCTATCTATCTCTATTTATCTGTCTATCTCGTTCTCTCCATCTCTCTCTCTCTCTCTCTCTCTATCGATTTCATTCTCTTCATATGTATATATCTATTTCGTTCCCCACACATCTATCTATCTATCTATCTATCTATCTATCTATCTATCTATCTATCTATTTATCTATCTATCTATCTATCTAATCAAATGGATAAATATAGGTAAATGGATGAGCAAGCGTTCGTATACAAATAATTAAATATATATATATATATATATATATATATATATATATATATATATATATATTGATGACATTGATCAAACAACTCGGAGTTTCAACTTAAAATTCGTACCTGATGATTGCAGGCAGTATGAAACCCGGTCAATGTAGGATATTATATATAGTTTTTAATATATATATATATATATATATATATATATATATATATATATATATCTTCTTTACACACATGGGCAGTGAGGAGAAATTCGCTGAATTCCTTATGACCGTAAACCCGGTACAATACTCCATTAAGTTCAACCACGAAAAATCAACAAGATCGGTAACATTTTAAAACACCCTCGTCTAAATCGATAAAAACTGAAGACTACAAACGACACTACATACTACTAAAATCACTGACACCGACAACTATCTAGACATTAAGTCTTTCATCCCAAAATACCTGAAGGAGAAGCCTCCCTATTCACAAGCACTTAGTCTCAGAAGGATATGTTCTAACAGTGAAGAACTAAGTAAACATTATTTACATTATTCGGAAAATTTTCCTCATCTTTCTCGCCATATTTATTACAAGGTTTCGTCCGTTGTACGCTCCGGCCTTCTTCAGGTGTTTTGCAATATGAGCTCTGGTAAAAACATTTAATGATAACAGCAAAAATTGTAATATGAGCGCTGGTAAAAAATGGTTACTGAAGACGTTAAGTTTATAAAAACCAGAAATTCATACACAGATGTCGTCAACGACACATGGCACAGTGGATAAGGCTTTAGTTAGATCCAGTGACAGGACCCAAAGAGTGTGAGTTCAATACCCGGTTACAGCAGTGGGGAACTTGGAGAGGGGGAATTAACAAGACATAACTGATAACTGACATTCATTAAACGTGGCACGTGGAACTAGAACATTCTACCCCAGTGAGCGAAATAAAGGGTTTAGTTCGACATTCCAACCACCTGAAGAAGGTCGGAGCGTACAACGGCCGAAACGTTGTAATATATATGGTACAAAGATGTACATAATATCTCATCTCAGAAAATATAGACAGAAACAAAATAAACGCACCAAAATCTTTAGCACCAATTCACAACCCGTCGCTATAAACAAGACCTAATCAAGGAACATATAAATGAAGAAATTTCCACACCTAGAGAAGACACCCTTATGTATAAAATTAAAAATAAATCTACGCCCATACATACACATTCATGCATATATACACATATAGTAGAGACGTGCATGTATATGTTTGTAATATGCCATCCATTGGCACCTGTTGTTTATACTGCAACTATATGGAGTAGGCCTTAGTTACAGTTTCTGTGAGAGAAAACATAATCTGGTCTATTACCTCAAAACCGTCGGATTCTAAACAGTTTCATCTATCCACAGCCTCTGGTATGTTTTCCAAAGCTGCCGTGCGCGGGATTCACCCTACACCAATACATACACATTCAGGCATATTTACACGTAGAGTACATAAGTATAAATTTATAATCTGCCATCGGTTTGCATCAGCTCATTAGCAAAGTTGCACGCTGTTTCCCTGCATGTGTTTCTTTTTGTATCCCTTTCTCTTTAAGACGTCCTCCTTGCATATCTCTCATTGCTTCCAGTTTCGTCTACATCAGTAAAGAAATTGTCCAGTGTTCACTGATGCGTAGGAGGATAGATATGGCATCGCAGTTCAGAAAGCCTTTTTTATTTCTATCGAAGTCTTTTTTTTTTCATTAGTTTCTAGAAAGAATCTTTTGCAATTTTCTTGCGTCCTATTTACTCACAAGCTTTTGCAAGAGATTTGAAATGTAGTTCTACAGAATAGTCCAGCGAATACCATGGACGGAGTCCTGGGTATGACGATAAACTACATCCGGCAGCAAGGCTTCTTATCGGGAAATTGGAGGTTTTGAGAATCGTGGAACCTCCAGTTATTTGCTGTTGTTCCCAGGTTCACCCTGAGCCGTTGTGGTAGCACCTGTTGGGGCCCCAGTTATGGCAATATAGTGAACACCCGAACAAAAGCAAAACACTATGAAAATAAAAAAAATATAATAAAATAAAATCTCATGACTAGCGTTTTCCTGTATGAAAGGAATATATCCTTACTAGTAACACAGAAGATAAATCTGGCCCATTCGAATATCCGCTGGAAATACTAAATATCTCTTCTCTAGAAATATAGAAGAATATCCCAGCAGCTAAATACTTCTCCATATTTGGTATGTTTGATTGGTGGTGTTCTTTGCTGGGTTTTCGAGTGCAGTGAAGAAGGATGTCATGACTTGTCGATACTCTTCGCGGCTCCATTTCGTTCGTTTACTTTTTATTAGTCGATTTTGCATAGAGTCACTTGGTCCAAGGTTGGCAGTAATCCGGTTTTGGTGACCAAGTGTCTCTTCGTGTGTGGAAGAGTTTGTTCCAGTGGCAGACTTTTCGTTCTCAAACTGGTTCCTCTCTGAGTGACGCGGCCCTTGTTGTCCCGGTTGACGGCCGATCCGGTATGAAATATTATTCGTATTCATTGAAATTAGAGAGATGCGTTTTAACCTTGACCGCCAAGGGGTAGTTATGTTCAGATTACCAGCTGTAGGATTATTATTATTATTATTATTATTATTATTATTGTTGTTGTTGTTATTACGTCTAGTATATGAAGAGAAATAGAAATTGAATATAGAATTAAAAATGTAACGCTATAATGAACGATACTAAAGTAATTAAGTAAAAATTTATTATTGATATTTTTCACGCGCTTGTGAGTAGATTATGAGCCAAGAGGTGTGGATGGTGTAAAAATTTCAGGGAGCCCTGTTTTTAACGGAATTCAGCCTAAAATGGCGCTTTCAACTGATTTTGTTTTATTTCTGCTATATGCTAATGAAGATAATATTTTTTTACAAAGTTTAGTAGGGATGAAGAAAGACCGTATTTTACCAGTATTCCAAATTAAGCGGCTCTGCTTACCGTGAAAATTGCGATACATCCTTATCTTACTTGTGTTGAAATAATACCCACTGTAACTATTCTACCCATTAAACAGCCCTACAAATATTTACTCATTACAGAACTGCATAAAGCCGATCTGTCAGACTAGGAAGATCGTGTTGCGGTAAAATTCCTAAATAACGACAACATACTTGCCTTGGAAAACAGCATTCTAAACTGTTGCGACAGAATGAGAAGACTGGCCAGAAATGGCAAACTATTGGTCAAAACTCTGACAACTTGAACTGAGTGGGTGTAGTGTGAGGCTTGGAATTCTGATAGTGATTGATAGCTTTTAAGTTTTTATAAGACTAAAAAGATAAGACAACTAAATGCCTGCAACAATTAAAATGGTCGCATCTAAATTTCTTAGTGAATCAAGTCAGCACGTTGTGATTAGATTCTGGCTAACCGGTTGACAGTTGTTCTCTCTATCTCTCCCTCTCGTTTTCACCATTAAACGATGCTACCACTACAGTCCCTCATAAAATAACGAAATATGTCCGTTTCTGAAGCTGTCTGTGATGTAGGATTGAGGTCTGAAGAATTGAAGCCAGAGACGACATGAAACTCGACAATGTGGTCAAGGGAATTACGCAAGTAACTCCGCCATCAAGCAGTTCCTGATCAATATATGCAGAAGCGTCATAATCGAAAAGTAGCAGACAACGGTGCTTACTTAAAGCCAGAAATCAAGATTGGGTAA